AATATCATATATTTTCTTGCAAGTAAAGGAAAATCCACAAAAAAGAATAAGCACTTGACCCTGGTTTAGAAACTCAGTTCAATATTTCACATGAGAATTTGTTTTACAGTTTGTAAACTGTCTGCCGACACTGAATTTAAATGGCCTTGTGTAAGGGCACCGTGAATTCCTCAGTGATTCAATGTTTACTATAATAGATTTACTCCACCGCCCTAGTGGAGTTAGGCAGAGAAAATCCTTATGATTTAAGGGCCGGTGAAAGAAGTTATTCTATGTAAACAGGAATGAGGAGGAATGCCAAAGAGTTCGATAAGTTAGTCACAGTGATGGATGCTGAACATGATCTTATATTTTCTGCAAGAACTGTGTTAAATACAGCTCTCATAAGTATTACTATGAGTTTTATTGCTCAGTGATACAATTATACATACACCATATTACACATCATTCTATCTCCCTTAAACAATTGTAATCAAAATTATTCAACCCCCATTGAAAATTAGGTTTAATGTTAAACTTTATAGACTATAAACTGTTTGCAATGAGCAACTCAAACAAAAGCAATTGAAATAGCTCAACCCAATGAACGCTTCAAGTGGTTTACTCAAATTAAACTGAAAATGCAACTTAGAATGACTTCTCCAGTCTCAAGCATCTTTAGTACTTAGTAGAGCACACTTTTGCAGTTATGACCTGCTGCTAATGAGATGCATAGCCAGGCACCAGTTTCTGGTAGCATTAGTGAGGAATCTCATGAGCAATGTGCCCTAGTTCAATCATATTCTTGGGTTTGCATGCCGCAACTGCCTTCTTCAAATCCCATCAGAGATTTTCTATGGAGTTCAAATCAGGTGACTGTGATGGCCACTGTAACATTTTCCAGGACTTCTTCTGCAACCAGGTTTTGGTGGAATTTGAGGTATGCTTGGGATCATTGTCTTGTTGGAAGGTCCAATGACCCCAAACTGCATCTGCTTCCTCACATATGGCATGATGTTTTCTCCTATGATTTCCTGATATTTCAATTAACCCATCTTGCCTTTCACACACTGCAGGTTTCCAGTGCCGGAGGATGCAAAGCAGCCCAAGAACATCACTGAGCCCAACCATGCTTAACTGTAGGCAGAGTGTTCATTTCAATGTACGCTTCATTCTTCTTCCTCCAGAAATACCGCTGATCCATTGGGCCAAAAATGTCTAGTTTTGTTCATCGTGCATATTGGAGCCAACTTATTTGTGCTTTTGGTTCAGTAGTGGTATATGAGGGTTCACAATCTGCTATCTGTTCCTTCAACTTTGAGCTTGCAAACTACGTTTCCAACGGTGTCTTTAGGAACATTCAGTGCCTTTGCTTTCTTTTTGTGTCCTGTTTATTGTTGTGAAGGGTGATGACCTCTTCTCTTAACTTTGTGGACCATTCTTTTGACTTAGCCATATTTCTAACATGCAGTCAAACGTTACACTCAACAAACCCCTAGCCAGTTCAGGTATTTTAAGTGTTCCAGCTCAAGCATACCTGATGCAAATAATGAAGCCCTTGATTAGTTGCATCAGGTGTGCTTCAGACAACACCTGTTTTGCAAATGTGTGCTGTTGTGAGGAATTCTATTCAGGGGGTTGAATAATTTTGAGACTGAGAAGTCATTATAATTTGTATTTTCAGTTGAATCTGGGGAAACCATTTGAAGCATTTGTTATGTTGAAAGAAAAAAGGGGAAGAGTCTGCGCTGACTCATTTGAGCAGCAACCCTGAAAGGGAATCCCTCACAAAACCCTTATAAGGCAAAAAATACAGAAAAAGGGGTTGAGGGCTGCGCTTAGTAAAGGATAAGTAAAAGAGAGTAAAATTAAATAAAGGTAAAAACCAAAAAGTTCATCCACATATAAGAGAAGTATAAGTTAAAACAATCTCACTGGTGTGCAGTGATATAATATAAGTCCTCAAGTGTCACTCCATCCTTATGGTAGGTGGTCCATATATGTGGAGACAAAAATGAGAGAAGAAAGGCTTCCAATAGTGAAATATTGTATGTCCAAGGTGTAATATATATTCAAAGGAAAAGGTATTTCACTCACATTTGTTGGAGCTTTATCCAGCTCTCGGAGAAGAGGCACTTAGTGGTTTGATCCCCACTGTCGGATATACTGAACAGTTGGTCTGTCCGTCCGGTTTGAAGTTTCTTTAGTGTAGGCTAGGACCTGCTCAGATGTACAATATTCGTTATGTTGGGGAGATAGGTCCGCTTTTCCGGTATTGGATGATAGGTGTCCACGAGACATATAAAACAGCATATAGTGCTCTCAGTATGAACAACACAGTAATATGTATAAATAAGTTATACTTACAAAAATAGAGCAGACAGATACTGCTCTATTCCCACAGCGCTGGTGGAATTATCCCCACCTCAGGATTTCTTTAGACGGGATACACTCCAGTGGTAGATAGTAAATAGTAAAATAAAATAAAATAAAATAAAAATAATGGAGTAATTAAAATAATAATATATTGTAAAAATATGCCAGGAGTAAAAAAATAATAAATAAAAGTGTATGAAGTACAATAAAATAAGTAAAAAAATTGGTCCTATAATGAAAGGTAACCAAAAATAACTTTTATTGACTAAAATATACTTATAATGACCATTTACGCGTTTCACCTTTAAGGTTTTTTCAAAATGGTAAAAGAACAGTACACCTGGCAAAAGGCTGAATATATAGGTTTACAGAGGTTTGAAAATGGTGCCAAAATTTGATGCACCAATCACAAATGAAATTAAAATCAAAATTTTAAATACATTTCAAATTAACATTTAAACCTAATAAATGCATTGATATAAGCCTAGTTAGGCTTAAAATATATACATATAGTAAAAACGAAGCTTTGGTACAAAGTAATTTGTAGTTGGTCCCGATCACGTGATCGGGACGCTGCGCGCATGCGCAGATCGTTTTTTCGGCAAATCACTTACTGGTATGAACTCATTATATTTTTATCTTATTCCCAATTTTTAGCTAAGTGCTTTTTAACCTATGTTTATATCAGTATTAATATTTTATTTTGTGTTCTGTATTTGTTGCATCTTTATAGATGTCCTGTGTCTTTTATAAAACATAAAGTTTGTGCAGGTTACACTTTAAACATGTATTTTTATCATATTGGGTTTTTTGTTATAATAATAATTACATTCCTGGTTCATAACTATATGCAGGGGTGCCCAGTGACCGGCTGGACTTCATTTCCCAACATACATTGCATCTCCAGCCGGCCACCGAGCACTCCATTCATACCAGGAAGTGATTTGCCGAAAAAACGATCTGCGCATGCGCGCAGCGTCCTGATCACGTGACCGGGACCAACTACAAATTACTTTGTCCCAAAGCTTCGTTTTTACTATATGTATATATTTTAAGCCTAACTAGGCTTATATCAATGCATTTATTAGGTTTAAATGTTAATTTGAAATGTATTTCAAATTTTGATTTTAATTTCATTTGTGATTGGTGCATCAAATTTCGGCGCCATTTTCAAACCTCTGTAAACCTATATATTCAGCCTTTTGCCAGGTGTACTGTTCTTTTACCATTTTGAAAAAACCTTAAAGGTGAAACACGTAAATGGTCATTATAAGTGTATTTTAGACAATAAAAGTTATTTTTGGTTACCTTTCATTATAGGACCAATTTTTTTACTTATTTTATTGTACTTCATACACTTTTATTTATTATTTTTTTACTCCTGGCATATTTTTACAATATATTATTATTTTAATTACTCCATTATTTTTATTTTTATTTTATTTTATTTTATTTTACTATTTACTATCTACCACTGGAGTGTATCCCGTCTAAAGAAATCCTGAGGTGGGGATAATTCCACCAGCGCTGTGGGAATAGAGCAGTATCTGTCTGCTCTATTTTTGTAAGTATAACTTATTTATACATATTACTGTGTTGTTCATACTGAGAGCACTATATGCTGTTTTATATATCTCGTGGACACCTGTCATCTAATACCGGAAAAGCGGACCTATCTCCCCAACATAACGAATATTGTACATCTGAGCAGGTCCTAGCCTACACTAAAGAAACTTCAAACCGGACGGACAGACCAACTGTTCAGTATATCCGATAGTGGGGATCAAACCACTAAGTGCCTCTTCTCCGAGAGCTGGATAAAGCTCCAACAAATGTGAGTGAAATACATTTTCCTTTGAATATATATTACACCTTGGACATACAATATTTCACTATTGGAAGCCTTTCTTCTCTCATTTTTGTCTCCACATATATGGACCACCTACCATAAGGACGGAGTGACACTTGAGGACTTATATTATATCACTGCACACCAGTGAGATTGTTTTAACTTATACTTCTCTTATATGTGGATGAACTTTTTGGTTTTTACCTTTATTTAATTTTACTCTCTTTTACTTATCCTTTACTAAGCGCAGCCCTCAACCCCTTTTTCTGTATTTGTTATGTTGAGCTATTTCAATTGCTTTTGTTTGATGTGTTCATTGCAAAAAGCTGAAAATCTGTACATTTTGATAATAAACCTGATTTTCAACAGGTGTTGAATAATTTTGATTACAACTGTATGTAATTCTCTATTTCCCTTTCATATGTCTCTCCATCTTTCTGTGTCTCTCCACGTGCCCTAGTTTCTCCACCACTTCATGTTGCCTCTCGCTCTATGTCACATTCTGTTAATTCCTCCCTGTTCCATCTCCTTTTACACTTCTCATTCAATGTATACCACTGTATCAACCTCTTCTTAGTTGGTCAGCAATAAAATCATACAGGAAATTCTAATTCTGAGAAACACACCTGGCAAGTGACAAACACAAATCAGGCTCTCAAGTCAACTCTGGAAAAAATATCTTTCACAAGGACTCTTCTCATAATTGTTTTGGTGTTGGGACATTTCCTGTAGACTTTGTTCAAGATCCCAGATATACGTAGTGAAGAACAATATTGCAAATATTTATTATTATGTTCTAAGCATTATTTTATTTAGTTTATATCAATGTTGGATGATACGGAAAGCAAAAAAAAGTACATGTTCGGATAAATGACCCCTGAGGATTAAAAAAATTTCTACTACCAAAAAATGTCAGAAAATTATAAATTAACATGACAAAGAGGGGTGAGAAAAGAGAATACTATATCATCTTTGTTATTAAACATAGTGTGATGAAAAGTGTAAAAAAACTCCCACTTTACTGCAGGTATGTTCATGTCAGTCCTTTACTTGGTACTATTTGTAGAACTGCGTGTCTTGTTATTGTCTTTCATATTTATTGGCACTGCAAGTTATGTTCCGCTTTTCTGTTCTTTACTGAATAACTCTTCAATAAAATATATATATTTACAAATAAAAACTTTTAGAAACAAACCATCCTACACAACTGCAGTTCAGAAAGATGGTGGTTTTTCCAACTTCACACAACAATGCCAAGCAAAATGAGCGGACACAGACAGCGTTCACTATTCTGATTTCTAGGACATATTTCCGTAGGCTCCCTGCAAACTTCCCAGGTTGTCATCTGAATTAGGTAATGCCCAACCGTGATTTGCAATCTTTTGTTCTTTTAGGACCCTTCAGAATAGCACTGGCTTTGGTTCTGTGTTGGAAATCTCCATGACATTATCAAACTAACTTTTATTAACATTACTGAGAAATCACAATCACCTGTTGGCAGAGAGATGTAAATGACAACTATGTAGACACTGCGTACTGCGATTGCATAACACAGTTTTGGAGTGTATACTGTGAGGGTGCTTAAAGGACCACTCTAGGCACCCTGACCACTTCAGCTTAATGAAGTGGTCTGGGTGCCAGGTCCAGCTAGGGTTAACCCATTTTTTAATAAACATAGCAGTCTCAGAGAAACTGCTATGTTTATGAATGGGTTAAGCCTTCTAATCCTCTAGTGGCTGTCTCATTGACAGCCACTAGAGGCGCTTTGCTTCTCACTGTGATTTCACAGTGAGAGCATATAGGAAGCATTGTAAATGCTTTCCTATGGCTGAATGAGCTCGTTCAGCCGGCGGGGGAGGATCGGAGGAGGAGAGAAGGAGGAGGCTCCCCAGCGCTGGAAAAAGGTAAGTTTTAACCCCTTTCCCCTTTCCAGAGCCGGGCGGGAGGGGGTCCCTGAGGGTGAGGGCACCCTCAGGGCACTATAGTGCCAGGAAAACGAGTATGTTTTCCTGGCACTATAGTGGTCCTTTAAGTCTACAACAGAGATCTGGATGAAAATTCATGTATCTATTATTTTGTACATTTTCTGCTGATTTGGTTAGCATAAAACTCAGGCAATAATGTATATGTTTTGTTAAAGTGACCTTGCCATCACCATATATGTTTTTTTGGGCTGATCAGTCCACCTTAAAGTATTTTTATGCTTGTTATCTCTACTTGCATCCTGACATTAAATTGTTATTTATATTGTACACACTTGTTTAAAACACCGTTTGGTTGGCGTGTACATTTTGATGTTCTTCCCTTTAATGTGGTTGATCATTGCTTTAACTATTGTTTAGGACTTTTTTAATCTTCAGTATGAAAACTAGAATTTAAGTACAGCTACTAATCCATGTTTATGCCCTGTACATAACCCCTGCGTACCTGCGGAACTTCAAAAAAAAAAAAAAAAGAAAGAAAGCCGCATTAGTAACCTGTGTCATATCCAAAATGCAGGCTAATCCATTAATAGTAGGCTTCTGTTCTTAGGTCTTTTGGCAGCCGTTTAAAATGAAATGTCTAAATTTAAAGTAGATGTTCAGGTTTTGAAAGACAGAATATGTTTTTTGATCTCCCTTCAGCAAGACAAGAGTGACATTTTTAAAATAATTGCTCAACTGAGGCATTAACAAGGAATGGAAATCCAACTGCCGTAGACTATAATTCTCATCAATTAGACATTTCCACAAAGAAAGCAGCGGTACAACTCAAAATGTTTCTCCATTTCTACTGCTGGACAGGTTCCTACTGATATAACAAGGTAGAATATCTAGAACTTCTCTACGCTTCTCTCTTGGGCTATCAGACGCAAGAAGAAAACTTCTCAGTCTTTCCCTGTGTCAGGATTGGGATAACACCCTACACATGGTGAGAATGATATTAGCCAAAATAGAAAGAAGTCAAATATACAATAAATACAAAGTCCTGCTGTGTAACACACAATGTGCCAACACACTCTAAACACCTATGTGCTCACCTCTCTTTGCACACAAAAACAGAAATTATACATACATAAGGAAATAGGTGGAGTATGGTTGGTTTTCAGGTATAATATTGCTGTAGAAGACAAAAAAACATCGTCAAAGCCTAGTGCAATATAGTTTGGTCTAATCAAAGAAGACAAATATGTGATTCTAATGGTATGGTACTCACAAAGATGGAGCCAATATAAGAGGCTCACCACAGGCACAGGTGGGGAAGTTAGAAGGGACCCCACTCCCTTTTGTTGCTTTAGGAGTCTTCTTGTTTGCCCATTCCACTGCACGTGAATTCCAGTGTCAGGAAATACTTTATTGGTGCCAAACAAAATAAAATAAAAGTTCTAAAAAAAAAAAAAGATAAGATAAACTTGTAAATGGGTACAATATATAAAGTCCAAAATACTTGGTGAAAGCTTGCAAGATGCGTTTCGGCTTCTTCAGTTGCCTGTGGATCTTTTCTGGCATTCAGTTGTTCTTATATACCTCGCTTTAATTCCTCATTACGGTCACCTGATGTTGTCAATCGGTTCTGTCTTTTTCTGATGACGCGGCTTCTCGCTTCTCTTCTCAATGACGTCATTGTGCTCAGTCCGTATTTGGAACGCATTCTTGCGTTCCACAGTACAAATTAACTTTATTGTCCATAACATGATTGCCTATTACGTGCATGTTCAAAGAGAAAAGAAAAAGGGATAGTTATATAAGTCCTCAATTATTAATAACGAAAATCTAAAAAAATTTAAATATACATCGGGTATAAAAAAAACATAAGGCTTATGTAAGTACTTAGATAATTATATATTGTTCTGATATATGGAACTGAGTACTTTCATTATACACAAGAGCAGAGAACTGTTATGTTAATAAAGTGCATAAGGTTACCAAAAAAAAAAGTGCTTTTAAAAACTATAATAGTGCTTTTGGTGCAAAGTGAATTAGATGACATATTAACAATAACCATATGTGCATAAAGATCATATCCATGAGGAGGAACATATTCTCCAGTATATTTAAAATTGTATGGCATATATAATATGCTAAAAACAAAAAATTTAATTATTAAAAAAATGTGGTTAAAAAAGTTAATAAATCAATAAGTCTAAAATCTATAGGAAATGGCATAATTCAAAGTCTAAATTTACTCTATATGGTCTGATTGACTCTGAGTACATGTAAGTTTGATTCCCCAATTGTTCTTATTGAGGAATTCCAAAAACATATCCAGACTTGTTGATGTACCTGTCCATTTAAAAAATATGTCGTCTATATATCTGCGATAGGCCACCAAGTTCTTCCCCAGCCATGTCCCTGGGAGATATAGTTTTCTTCCCAATAAGCCATAAAAAGGTTGGCATAGCTGGGGACGAACTTGGTGCCCATCGCATAACCACAGATCTGTAAAAAGAATTGATCTTCAAACCAGAAGAAGTTGTTGGATAAAATCAATAAAATTCCTTTTACTATAAAATCTATTTGCTCTTCCTTAAAATGTGATTATGCTAAAAAATGTAGCCTCTATGCCTTTTTCGTGTGGAATAATGCTGTATAAAGAACTAACGTCGCATGTAACTAGAATATATCCGTCTTTCCACTGAGTGTGTTCTAAAACTAGAAGGAAGAACAGGATACGTATAACAGACCTTAGAGTGGCCGGACTTAACATATGTCTAAAAAGGCAAGAAATCGTAGAAATAAAAGATGCCTAGGTCAAGGAATACAGAGGAACACAAGAATGAGAAAACAAGCCAAGGTCAAAGGGATACAGAGAGTCAGAATAGTCTAAATACAAAACCAGGTCAGCAACAGGAAAAACAGAATATTAATAAACGCACTCTCAGGCTAACAAGAACCACGACAGGGCAATGATTCCCAGAAAGGGGGGAACTTATATGGATAGAAAGAATACTATTGGACACCATTATCACTCTGCACCAGGACACACAAAGGGGTGTGACCTGTGCAAGACGTCCAATAAATGTGACACCACTAAAAGGTAAGTATAGGGGGCGTGGCTTGGGCTCTAACCAAGATGGCGGCATAAACTGAGAGCTCTGCTCCACCGGACCCTTTATAGCACACCGATCATCCACCACGCACGTTAAATGGGCTGCAACCGACGCCCAGAGGCCCCCCAGATACCGAGGGGCACACAACAAGGCCCCCTTGATGGATTTCTGCAGCCGCAACCCGGCGTGAGCGGCGAGGCGGGAAGCCCCAAGATGGCGCCTACCTCCCCGGCGGGCTCCGAGAACGCGGCCTTGGAACACATTGGGGAAGAACTGTGGACCCTTACTGCCTCCATGGTCACTAAAGTGGACCTGCATAACCTCACCATCACCATACAGGACACGTTGAGGAAGGAGATAGCAGGAATCAGGTCTGAGGTCACCACGCAGGCAGGCCGCATCCAGGCCGCATCCATTGGAGCAGGCACAGGAAGCGCAGAATAGCAAACTCACGGCGACGGATACAGCAGTGGCCCGACAGGGCGAAATGCTTCTTGCCATGTGACGACACATTGAAGATTTAGAGAACCGGGGGCGACGCTGCAACATCCGCGGAGTACCCGAGTCTGAAGGTGAAGAAAACACAGAAGCAGTCCTCACCAAGCTTTCCACACGCTATTGCAAGCGGCAACCCCCCAACGCTTCGAATTCGAGAGGGCACACAGAGCGCTGAGACCGAGGTCATTAGAGGAAGGCCCGAGAGATCTAGTGTGCTGCCTACACTCATTCCCCGTAAAGGAGGCTATCATGCGTAAGGCCCACAAAAGACCAACATGGCCCTACAGGAGAGCACAAGTGAAGGCCGCCCTGCGGGATCGCAACATTACCTACAAGTGGGGCTTCCCGTTTCCCTTACTGGCACGCCACCGTAATGGATGGGTGTCAATGCGCTGGCCTGAAGAGGTGCCACGATTTATGGAACAGCTGGGCCTCACGCCTGTACAGGTCACCAACTGGATCCTGGGACCCCTGGGCTCACCGCCCTGACCTCAAACATCAAACCAGAGGAACGAAGGGGGAATCACCGGCAGGACACTCATCCCAGAGGCGCAGACACCCAGCGGCACCGGAGGAATGAGTGAGTACCCTTGGCTACATGCAGCCTCACCAGACCCCCCACACACCCGGGGACAATGTATGACATCCTCCCCGTATGTCCCGTACACCACCGCTGAACCCTCCAGTTAGAGCACACATGGCACACGCACATGAGGCTCATTTAGCTCCCCAACGGACATGAGCTACCAATGGACTCACACTGCAAACTATCACGGAGACTCATGGCGGACACTTTTTACGGGATTTGGGAGGGGGGAAACAGGGAGCTGGTATCGAAGACGGGAGCTGGGGATGCCACGGTTGGTCCCACACTGCTCGGACGCACGGGCTTAGGGACATGTATTGGGGAGGGGGGTTATTGGACGGGTGGGCTGGATCACCACTACCTCAACGTACTGCTACCCTCCATGGGGCACCCTCTTGGCCTTCCCCTCTATTTCTGTGACCAAAGGAGAAGCCTGGGATCCAGGCAGACTGGGAGGTACCACATCCCGAGCCCTAGTGCTGCGAAACAGGTAAAAATCACCCATGCAAGGAGGTAGGATAGAAGGGAATGGAACAGGAGATAACTTGATGTACCCGAGATGTGTGGGGAGGGGGCGGGGAGGAAGAACTCCGGGAATGTTGGTTTCAGTTCTGTTTATATAATTTCACAATGTTTTGACTTTTTACTAGTATATATCAATTGAAAATGTAACGATGAGATACTTGTGACGCCATAAAAGGGGCACGGTGGGGTGGACAGATCCAATTCTCATCTGTTGTCTTATCTTTGGGCGGAGCCGGAGTTGCGTTTCCCAACACACACTCGTGCGATATTGCTTGCGACTAGACCGTGGGGGGCCAACATTCTCTGAGCTGGTGGGAGGAGTGGGACCCTGACGACTCTAGTTGCTGCACGAGTACCCTCCTGATAAGAGGGAGTAGACACGGGATTTATACAATCCCAGGGGAGGTCTTTGCCTGACAGGTGTACCTCCCACTAACACGTACACGCACCACACACACCACACCGCTTTCACTCATACAGCCCCTTCCACTTCCAATTACTTTCCTCTGCTTCCAACTTTTTACTCTCTCCCACACCTCTCCCAACCCCTCCCTTCTTGGTCTGTGACGGGGGTGCAGGGTCCGGGGGCGGCAGCCGTGGAACCGGGGGTCTCCAAACACGCGAACCGGTGGGAAAAGACCAACTGTCCATAGGGGGGGATGGCATACCGCAGCACCCCACTGCCTGTCCTAACCCTTAATTGTAGGGGCCTGAATATCCCAGAACGCAGAACACACCTATTAAGGGAACTGAAGAGGAAACACATCGCGGTGGCGATGCTCCAAGAAACACACTTTAAAGAAGGCGCAGCTCCCCAGTTGCATGACAGGTCTTACCCGAGCAACTATTTCTGCAGCCATCAGACAGCCCGCAAATCCGGAGTGGCCATCGTAATAGCAGCAGACCTAGAACTCCAGGAACTGGACCAAGTCCAAGATACACAAGGGCACTTCCTCTTCCTGAAGGGGCTTATAGCGGACGAAATATACACGCTTGCGACTATGTCACCAACAGACGCCAAGCTTCATTCCTCAAAGGTGCATTAGCTAAACTAAGGGACTTTGCGGAGGGCGTGTTAATAGTGGGGGGTGATTTTAACTCCCCACTAGATCCAACACTGGACTCTTCCTCGGGACACAGCTGTATCCCCCAATTATGCATCAGATCTATTTGACACGCGCTGAACGAACTGGGGCTGGTTGATTGCTGGGGGACCCTCAATCCATCTGGTAAAGATTATACACATTATTCCGCTCTCCATAACCGTTATGCATGTATCTACTACCTCTTCATCAAACAGGAGGGCCTTTCTCACCTATTAAAGGCCAACATTGAACCAGCTACGTGGTCAGACCACGGCCCGGTTAGAATAGACCTGAAATCACCTCTGTTCCAACCCTCCACCTGAACCTGGAGGCTAAACGAAGCACTACTCTTGGACCCGGTGACACGGGAACAGATTGACCTAGATCTCTATTTCTGAGAAAATTACCTAGCAGAAACATCACCTATCACACTGTGGGAGGCACACAAGAGCGTAATTCGCGGAACGCTCATACGCATTGCCTCTCAGAAGAAGAAGGCGGCAACCCAGGAGATTGCGGAGCTCCATAAATCCATCTCGAAGCTGGAGCAACAACACAAAAGATCCCACCTAAACGCAATATACGGCGAACTCATGGAGGCCAGAAGAACATTGAGGGACCTAATACTGAAAAAACACCTTCGCTCGTTACAACACTCAAAAGGTTTTTACTATGCCCATGCTAACAAAGGGGGCAAACATCTGGCGCACCTCCTGAAGGGCACAGTGCCCTGCATCCAAATACGTAAACTACGCATCGGGCACCATCTCCCCCTTGCCACAGGAGATAGCGGAGGAGTTCAAGAACTTTTACCAGGTCCTCTATAATCTCCCCGCCACCGGAGGGAACGATCACAGCCTAAACAGAACCGCAGCAATGACCAACTACCTACACACTAATGTCACGGAGATGGTTGATCCGGACACAGCATCAGCCCTGGACGCACCTATCAGCACGGAGGAACTAGCAGCGGCCCTAAAAAATACCAAAACCGGAAAAGCACCGGGACCAGACAGCTTTTCCACAGGATACTATAAGAAATTCGCGGGAAGGCTCCTGCCACGGCTCACAAAAGCCCTAAACGCTGTGGCAGACAGCGGAAGTTTTGGACCAGAATCCCTATCCGCGACTATCACCGTACTACTCAAACTGGGAAAAGACCCATTGAACTGCGGCAGCTATCGCCCAATATCCCTCCTAAACGTCGACACAAAATTATTCATGAAGGTACTCGCGACCAGACTTCAGCCTCTCCTCCCGTCCCTGATCCATGCAGACCAGACGGGCTTCATACCTGGACGCAAGGTGAGGGATAGCACTCTGCGACCCTTTTCCATCCAGCATCAGGCGAGGAGAACGGGAGAGCGCCTTCTGCTGCTTTCAACTGACGCGGAGAAGGCGTTTAAGCATGTCAATTGGCAGTATATGACATCCACGTTGAGGGAGATGGGACTGGGACAAAAGCTCTTAACATGGATATCCGCCATATACAGCAATCCGAGGGCAGCGGTAAAGGTCAACGGGGCCCGGACAGACGACTTTGAGATTAGAAACGGAACGCGACAGGGGTGTCCACTCTCCCAACTGTTGTTCGCGCTCTCTCTAGAACCACTCCTGCAGGCGATTCGCCTGAATCCAGACATTCAAGGTTACGATGTACATGGAGCGACCCATAAAGTTGCGGCTTACGCAGACGATTTGCTTTTTTTCATCAAACACCCCCGACTAACTCTGCCAAACCTCCTTGTGGAGTTTGAACGCTTCGGCGACTTGTCCGGGTTCAAGCTAAACCTGACGAAATGTGAAGTACTGAACCTGATGATGCCCACTGACGAATATATGGCCCTGGAATCACAATTCGAGTTTCGATGGTGTCACGGCAAAATGAAATATCTGGGCATTTGGGTGCCTACGGATCCCAGACAACTGTATGAGCATAATTTCCAACCTCTACTACAATCAATAACGGCAGACCTGACTAGATGGGCTCTCCCTCGCATAACCTGGCATGGGCGCATAGCGGTGCTCAAAATTAATGTGCTCCCTAGAGTCCTATACCTCATGCAAACCATACCCCTCACACCAGCAACATTCTTCTCCTCCCTGAAAACAGCAGTCATACACTACACATGGCGAGGCGAACGATCCCGATTACGGCACGACATACTCTGCCTCCCCAGACCCAATGGGGCACTGGCACTGCCGGATTTTAAAAAATATCATCAAGCCACAGTGCTGCAATGCATTCTTGACTGGCATACGGAACCCACACACAAGCAATGGGTATCATTAAACAAAGCAATTAACAAAAAGACACTGGAAACTATGATCTGGGGGGGGACAGGGTCCGAGAGAACAAGAAGTGGGCGATGGACCAGTTGCACAAATGCTACGCAGCTGGAAATCGCTAAGGGAACAGTCGCACATCTCGCCAACACCCAGCCTCCTTCTCCCGGTGACGCACAATAGCAGAATAGGTGGAGGATTGCCAGCTAGGGTGTGGAGTTTCCTGGGAGATGGAGACTATATTCCCATACGAAGGGCCCTAAGGGATGGTGGCCTACGGGATCTGGATACGTTGCTGGAGGGTAGACCACAGAACGCACTCACTACGCTCCGGTATATGCAACTGAAACAATACTATACTACACTCACACATAAAGAACGATTACATAGGGAGCTAACGTGGTTCGAAAGGGCTCTGTGAACAAGGCTCTGGACTGGATCACGCAGTTTCCATACTATACCAACGTCTAGCCACGAATGGCTGAACAGACAATAACACATTATGAAGGCAGTGGGAGGAATCGCTCGGTAGAACATTCACACCACCACAATGGGACAAAGCACTCCAACATAAGAGTTCAATGAGCTCCCACTACCAGGAGGTTAACTAAAAATTGATTTCCTTCTGGTACAGAACGCCAACCGTGATACATCGAATCTTCCTGACAATACCACCAACGTGCTGGAGATGCCAAACAGAAAGAGGTACACTGCTACACATCTGGTGGGAATGTAGCGATATAGTCTTGTACTGGGAAATGATAAAAAAACGATGTATCTCTGATACTGGGAGAAGTCCCAGACTGGTCTGCGGAATTCGCACTCCTACATATCTCTCAACAATCTATATTGAGCTACAAAAAAATCGATCATGCGCCATCTGCTGAACGCAGCTAAGGCCTCCATACCGGCCTATTGGAAAAAAATGGAGGTCCCGACGAAGGAGGAGTGGATCAGGCGAGTGGAGGACATTCAGGGTGCAGAGGCTCTCCATGCCTCCCTGACGGGTAGGGAAACCAAACATGTGGAAGCGTGGCAACCCTGGTTTATGTATATTTCCCAATACCCATGGAATGAGGGGGACCCCGAGGCCGGGGGCGGTGCACGGGCTCCGGCCCCCCCTTAGCATGGACCATACACTGTCCCCTCCTAGTTTTATCTTTTCTTCTTCTCCCCCTATATCCCTCCCCCCCCTCCCATACCTATCCCTGCTCCCCTCACACTCATACCTTGACTAGGAAAGATTGAGGAAAGCCTGACGTAAAGAAGTGAAGACTATCTCCCACCGAAAACCCGCCACATCATATATTTGATACAACACATATACAACCCACCCATCAGACCCTCCCACCACCAGTGGGTACATATCATACACACACACATAACACACAGACTGTAAAACGCAGCAGGGAAGATACTTACAAGCCTTGAAACACCACCTTTGACCACAATAGATATCACTTACATAACTCCCCAAATAAAAGCAACAGCCGCTTCCCCATTAGACCAAATAAAAGGGAACATGC